ACTAAGAACCAGTAAGAAGATGTGCAGGTTGTCATCCCTCTGAAGAGCGGGGCAAACCTGTCGGGACACAGCCTCCCTGGCGAGTTTTTCAGGGCATCATTTTCCGTGTGTGGTTCATATGAGCCAAAATCTCAACGCCTTAAGGTGGCTGACATAAGGGGTTATATATGGGGCTACTATAGNNGAGTTTAGACTATGGTTCATATCTAACATAGTAATAGCAGAAAACCTCGTAGCACAGGGAGACTAGTTGATTTGTTGAAAGAGTGTCTTCATCAGAACAGTAGCGTGGAATAGAACTAGCAACCGTGAGAAACAGTCCGTTAGGGATTCTTTTCCTCAGGCTTGGTAGCTTCTGAGAATGATTGCCACCAAAAACGTACACCCAAAGAAAAGATCTTTACGCCTGAGCGCCTAAAACACGCAAAGCTAACCATGTGAATCCCTTCAACCCATATCATGGACGCAGATTATTGCAGAAAGATAAAAAATGAAAGCACATCAGGCCAGCACGACATCCTCAATGCCGTCCAGGACTGTTACCTGTCCACATGATCCCGTTTGCCCTTCTGGCTTTAAAGTGCTACCAGGATGAATACTTCAACCGCTATTTGGATCAGTTGGGCATTGCGCCCACGGCTGCGAACAAGGCCATTTGCTGCTTTGCAAATTGGAGACAAAGACTGCCTGACACAAGGGAAGATACCTCAGAAGCAACAGAATCCTGAAATCTTGAATATCAACCCCTTGTCCCACCCACCTTCATTCAACAGACTGCCACTTTTGCAGGCCCAAATGTTGAAGTTTCGCCCTATGGATGACTGCGAAGTACATTCGATGTGGGTCCTGCGCTTGGAGCGAGCTCTGCACCACAGCAGCATGAGGAGGACATAGCAGCAGCCGCAGCAGCAGCGGCAGCAGCGCTTCAATGCAAGCCCTTATGGAATCCTTACGTGTAGTTTACGTCTGCAACAGCACTGCACCCCATTTGTTCCCCTTGTTTGGGTGAGGCCGATGACACCAGCTCGGGTCTCGCGTCAGCGCTTCGAATAGCTCCTCCATTGCGCCATCGAAGCTTCGCAGCACATGGCACATGCCGTTCTTTTCAACAATGGCCTTCAGCATTTGTTGCACAGTGTGACTGATGGAGGAAACTTTGAGCTGCAGGAAATGCTCCAATTTGCTTTTGGAAATTCCTACTGTAAACTAGGTGGCAGAAGATCTCCTTCATCTGTAGTGTATCTGTAGAAGTGCAGGACTCTTCTATATAAATTCCCCTTAGACCACACGTTGCAAGCTTCAGGAACCAAATGGGGGGTTTACCTTTAGATGCTGGTCGTTTGAGGGCACTAATCACAAGACAGCTTGCAGGTGTGGGGTATGAAGATGGTGATGACGAACCTCTAGACAGAGGCGGGCTCAGTGGTTTTCGAAACTTGGTGCTGAAGCCTTGCATGCTCCTTGCTTCAGCCATCATCGCCCACCTCTACGGCGAAGCGGATGACATCCCTGTGGAGCCTCCGAATGTACCGGGGCAGCCTGACGGCATCACTACTTCAGGTGCACCAGGATGGATGCAGCTTCATGTGCAAGCTTGCAAAGCTATTTCGATGATGATTGGGCCTGCAATGCATGCAACAATTCGCAAAGCTGTTGACTAAAGGATACAAGGTTGTCTGCGTGATCTCAGGCGCACAATCTTCCCGGTGGATCTGTCGAAGATGTTCGAAGAGGAGAAGAGGCAGCGGTTGATGAACTGCTGTTGCTTGTGTTTGTCCGTATCCTTGTGCCCGCTGACTACAACTAGGCCGCGCCCCTGAATTATGATTGGCGTGTTGGTGTCATTTGCTTCGTAATGTCACTGTTGTAGAAATATCAGTTACAGTAATGCGGATGAGCAATAGTAGCAGTAGAAGCAGGTACTCGTGATAGCGCTAGCACCAGTAACAGTACTAGCACTAGTGTGAAATACTAGCACTTGTGCTAGTACTAGGACTAGGATTAATACTAGAACAAGGAAGCGTCCAGGACGTTTGCC